GCACTTCCTTTCCTGGAGCCTCAGTCTCCTTGTCCTCTAAATGGGGACGGCACCACCTGCTGTGAAGGGCCCAGCACAGTTCTTGACACTTGGCAAGTGGCCACATCACCCGCCTCCAGGTCTTTGCACACTAAAGAACACTCTGACTCTTTGCCCCGGGACGCTGGAAATGATCCAAACTGCTGATGCCATTTCTAATGGGCCCAGGCTCCCTGGAAGTCACAAGGAGTCACACCAGTCAAGGCTCACAACTGCAGCCCCACGCATGTGGAAGACCTTGTTGGTAGTCTACATTCACTCACCATCAACTGCACACACCAGCTCGGATGGGTCAGCTGGCCTCTCAGTCTGCCTACCAGAGATACAAACCTGTCCCCATACTCCTACTGCATTTAGAAAATCAAGGGGAACATGTACCTCCCTGACCTCCCAGACTCCAACTGCAGGCACCTTCAGGTCCTCTCCTCCTATCCTTGTCCCCCTCTTCAAACCTCTTCCTCCCTCTGAATTACTTGCTCTGGTGGCAGGACACATCTGTCCCCCAAGCCACCTCTCTGTCCCCCATACCTAAGCAGGCACCGAGTTCTGCCAGTTGCACAGCTGCGATATATCCTCTCCTTCCCCATCTCTCTGCCATTGTCCTCGTTCAGGTCTCTGTTATCTGGGGCCTAGACAGACTCCCAAATGGTCTCCCTGCCACGTGGTTATCTCAGACCCAGTCTCTCCACACCCAACTGGGCCTTCTCCCTCCATAGCATTCCTCTGTCTTGTTTCCCCACTGCTGCTCATGGTGTCATCAGTCTTGCTATTGGGTCATCCTGGACTGTTTCCTCCTCTGTGAATCTTTCCTCTGGCAGAGAGGTCTCTGTGGTGGGTGGCTGGATCCAGTTACTCCTGAGCCCCCGTCTGACACCCCCCCCCAAGTAAACACGGAGTGCCAATCATGTGCCAGGCATGGAGCAAAGTACTGGCTGTGGGAAATAAAGGAACAGTCCCAGTTCCAGCTCTCATGTTCAGGCCATTACCAAGCCACCCTGTACTGCAAAAGTGTCTTGACCAGTCTCTCTATCCTTAAACTTCCAAGATCACCTCTTGACTGTGTCCAGAAACCCTCTACCACCTGACTCTGACACACTTTTCTAGAATTACCTCCAAGTTCACCTTCTTGACCTTCTACCTGCCCAAACCAGTCCACTCAGCTTCCAGACCTCTTTGTGCTCTCCTTTCTTACTCACTTGGGCTGCTGGCTGTACCTGAAAACTCCTGCCCACACCTCTCTGAGAACAACCGGTACAGACACCAGCTCTTTCATCAAACACAAAAACTGAGCACCGGACAATCCTTTCTTTCATCACTCTCAATGCTGCCATGACCTGCTGCTTCACCATTTTGCTACTTTCTCTCATACATCTATGTAGGTCTTTTCTCCCCAACTCAGGTTGGAAGTTCCTCAAGAAGGCAGTTCCTTCCCCTTCTCCCTGTTCTCTGTGACAGTGAACAAGCAGTCACATTTCATGTTTTCAATCTATGAAAGTGTGACCATCAACTTGGACAAAGCACACGGAGGCCCTGGGTCAAGTGGGGACTGGCAGTGATCATAAAAGTGAATCCCCCCAACATGTATGAACATGGAGAATGCCTTCTCTTCCCTTCCTGCTTCACAGTATAGCCACCACATGCATTCTACTCTAGTGGCACCTTCCTGTCTATGTCCACACTCCAAACTGTTCTTTCTCTTGCCTTCCTTCTCTTACTGACCACTATCCTTCTCTTGGTCACTCAGGCAGAGACCCAGAATCATCCACTGCTGTCCTCCTGTTCACTCACATCCCACATCTAAATACCCACAGAGACTTGCATCTCTTACTCCTCCAACCATGTCTCAAACCCATCCCTCCTTTCCCTACCACTCTGGACCACATTTGCAGCTTTTTCTACAGAGAGGAAAGTGAGCACCTTCTAATTGGTTTGCTGGCCTTCAGCATCATCCCCGTCCAACTCTTTCGTCTGTGCGCAGATCTGACTCCTTCACTTCGTGGCCTAGCTGACAGGACAACACCCTCTGCACACCAGCCCCATGAGTCCTCTTGTCACTACTTACTCCAATCTGCTTGCCCCTGAAGGACCAGAGCCCAAGTGGTTCCCTGAACAGACCAAGATGTCTCCACCTCCATGCTTTTTGTTCCTGCACCCTCCAAAGCTGTTCTTTATGGTGTGTACTCAGCTAATTGCCCCCCTCACGCACACGCGCACTTTGCCTCCTCCAGGAAGCATTCTGTGATCTCCTTTGCCCACCAGCCCTTTACTGCGCTTCCACATCAGTCAGCACATAACCCTCACGGCACTTAACCACAGTGCGCTAAAACAACCTGCCCACACATTGTAATCACCATTGCCTCCCCAACTCTAGCAGTGGGGCAGGGAGAGTTGGTTAAAGGAGGGAAGCAACTCACTTCCCTTTTGTAGGCTGCTCTCTTCTTATCTTCCCCTGGCTTACTCAGGTCAGCCTCACTGCTTCACTATTGCCACCTAGGGGCAAAAGGCAGCAACCGCACTTTCCTCACCATTCAGCATTTAATTTGACTCAATTGAATGGGATGGGAACACAAGCTTGGTTCCGGCGGGTAAAGGGAGAATGGCTTCCAATGGTGAGTGAGCTCTAAGCTGGGCCTTGCAGCCTGAGGAAAGGATGAACTAGACGTTCAGACATGGGACGTTCCAGGCGGTGGGGAAAACAGGCAGAGAGGGTGGGAGTTTCAGGTCCCAGTGCCGATGAAATGCAAAAGGAAGAGAGGGTGAGAAGGTGCAAGATCTGGGATCCTAAACTTTAATTTTTATATCACCTAAAGAGGTGAAAAAAATTAAAATTTTTTCCACTCAAAAAACTTTTAATCGGGAGCGATGATCAGATTTGCATTTTAAAAAGACAACTTTCAAAAAAAAAAAAAAAAGACAACTTTCAGGGACACCTGGGTGGCTCAGCGATTTAGCAACTGCGTTGGGCCCAGGGTGCGATCCTGGAGTCCCAGGATTGAGTCCCACATCAGGCTCCCTGCATGGAGCCTGCTTCTCCCTCTGCCTGTGTCTCTGCCCCTCTCTCTCTGTCTCTCTCATGAATAAATAAAATCTTTAAAAAAACAATAATAAAAAAATAAAAAATAAATAAAAAGACAACTCTTGCTAGAGTATGATAGAGATGGGAAGCAGGAAGTGAGAGAAGCAATAAAGCAAGCAGTAAAAAGACTGTTTTCATAATTCTCCCCTCGTTTCCCACTTGCTGCACCATGACCTCAGATTCAACATATCCAAACTGAAACTCCGCCTCCTCCCAAACCAGTGCTTCAACATAATCATTATTTCCACATTTTGAGATGTTCATACACCTCAGACTCTGTGTGTACCTTGAAGTCACAATTTTATAACAGATCCCAACAGAGCTTTGCACACAGATTTTCAAAGACGACTGAATGGAATTCCTTTTGGGATTCCCTGAAGGCTTGTGATCATAAGAGCAATAAAATCTCATGGTTAAGAGTAAGGATTTTGGGTCAGAGGTCCTGCGTTCAAATCCTGCCTCAGCCACCTTGCAGTGTGAGACTGGTCCAAAGTGACCCATCTAAGCCTTGGTTTGTCTGTCCTGAAGATGGAAATTACAACAGCACCTATCTCAGGGGCTGGATATCTGTAATGGGACAAGCCCACAGTAAACCCTCACTAAATACTGGTGATTATTTATTACATTATCTATTCAGTGCTTACCATGCTCAGGTCATTGCTAGGGGCTTCCCACGCCCTTAAATCTGCACAGCAACTTTTCTATTACATTTTATAGATAAGAAAACTAAGGCTCACACAGTTGAATTTGTACAAGTTCTTGGGAGCCTTGGAATCCCCACGCATCAGAGATGAGGCTGGAGGAACTTTTAGTAAAAGCTCATTTAGTCCAGTGGTGTGTCTCCTGTGTGATACTTTGGGCTACATCTGAAGACATTTTTGATCTTCACAACTGGGCGGGGGAGGGAAGAGATGCTGCTGGCATCTAGTGGGATGCTACTCAAAATCCTACAATGCACAGGACATCCTTCCCCCCACCCCCCCACCCCCAACCAAAAGTGATCAAATCCAAAAGGTCAGTGGTGACCAGGTTGAGAAATCCTTCTCCAACCGGACCACCTTTCCCATTTTTCCACTTCTTGAGCACGCACCCCACAGATCCTACATGAATACTTTTGGTAAACGGGGGGCGGGGGGGGGGGCGGCTCTGTCCAGGGGGCAGCGCATGCAAAACTTCTTCCTCACCTGCCCTGCACACAGTAGGTATCAGAACCCATTTTAATAAGCCCAGCAGCAGAGGAGACCGGAAAAGGAAGAGCATCCATCCCCCATTGTTCAACTGCGTGCAGGTTGTGTTTTCAACACACACACACATTTTTTACAAATCCCAACGTCCCACGCCCCAAAAACAGCTTTGTTAGAGATGGCGTTCAAAAAAAAAATTTTTTTTTTCCCTAGGACTCCCATACATACTGAAAGGTATGCATACTTCTAAAAGGACCTCAGATCGACCGCGGTCCTCTGACAACGACCACAAAAGAATCTGTAGGATTTCCCCGGAGAGCGAGCCCGTGGGCCGTGACCTCTGCGCGCCGAAGGCGCTCACCCCACTCCCTCGCCTCCGGCTTCGCTCTCCCGCCCCCGGCTCCTCGGCTCCCAGGACTGCTGGGGCCCCGGCCGCCGAGCCCGGCCACCAGGCGCGTGCCCACGCCGTGTCCCCCTCGCCCGCCCCTCGCGGCGGCCGAGGAATCCGGCCCGGGGCCTGTCGCCGGCGCCCACACCGGCCGGCCCCCGCCCGCCCTCCGCGGCCCGCGCGCGTCCCCTCCCGGCCCGGTGCGGCCTGGGCCTCGGCCGGTGCAGGCCCGCGGGCGCCCGCGGCCGGGCCAGGCGAGCTCAGGCCTGCCGCGGCCTACCCCGTCGGGTGCCGCCGAAGGCCCCCGCCTCACCTGGACGCGGGCGGGCGGGCCCGGGGCTGCTCCGGGGCGGGCGGGCGGCGGCGGCGCGGCGCTAACGGCTCCGCTCGGCCTCGGTAGCGGCGGCGGCGGCAGCGGCGACGGCGACGGCGGCGGCGGCTCCTCCTCAGCGCGCACGACCCGCTCCGGCCCGCGGCCCGGACACGCCCCCCCGGCGCGCGCGCCCATTGGCCGGCGTCCGCCACGGCGCGCTTCTCATTGGCTGACGTGCCTGTCTGGGCGCCCCGAGGCGCGCGGCGGAGGCGGGACTTCCGGCCGGCGCCGCCTGCGAAGGGCTCGGCGGCCGGCGGAGACGCGGGTGGCCGGCGATGGCCGCGGAGGGGGCCGGCTGGGGCCCGGCCCATGGAGGCAGACGGAAGGCGGTGGCCGAAGAGCCGCGCCCCTTGTCGAGCGCATGCTGTGCGCTCCGCGCCTGTCTTTCCCGCCGCCGCCGCCGCCTGCCTGCCAGGTAGGAATGGTCAGCACGCCAGGGCTGTGGGGACAGGACCCGGGTTCGAATCCCGACCCCGACGTTTCCGCACTACGTGCCGTTGGGAAAGAGCTTACGTCACCTCGCCGGGCCTCAGTTTCCTTATCTGGTATGGTGAGGAGGTGGAGCATGAGACGTGGTCAGCCTTACATCCGTGTTGACTGTTGGAGCTAGCGGGTTCCCAGACCCTCATTAAAATTTTATTGAGCGTCTAGTATATGCCAGGCATGTGTATTGGGCAGCGAACGGGCCACAAACATTAGCCACAAATGTCAGTCAGGTGCATAATTTAAATTTTCTAGAAGCTGTGTTACAGAAAAGTAAAAAAACAAACAAACAGTGATGTTGCTATTAATGATACGTTTTATTTAACTCAACGTGTTCCAAGTGTTATTTCTATGTGTAATCAATATAAAAAGTTATGAGATGTTTTACATTCTTTACCCTCACCCCCCCCCCCCCATATCTGGCATGTCTTAGGCTCACAGTGCATCTCAGATTGGACTGGCTACAATTCAAGAGCTCAGAGGCAGAAGAGAATTCCACATCAAGTAGTGGACAGGGGTAAGAAGGAAAGTAAATCGGAGACAGGGCGCCTGGGCCGCTGGGTTGGTTAAGCATCTGTGTGCCTTCAACTCAGGTCATGATCTCAGGGTCTTTGGGATCAAGCCCCAAGTCGGGCTCCCGCTGAGCGCTGAGCAGAGAGCCTGCTTCTGCCTCTGCCATTCCCCCTGCTTGTGCTCTCTGGCTCTCGCTCTCAAATAAATAAATAAAATCTTAAAAAAAAAAAAAGAGTAAGTTGGAGAAAGGGTATGGGGAATGTGAGGGTTGCAGGTTGAAAGTGGGAGATGGGGGATCCCTGGGGGGCTTAGTGGTTTAGCTCCTGCCTTTGGCCCAGGGCGTGATCCTGGAGTCCCAGGATTGAGTCTCACTACGGGCTCCCTGCATGGAGCCTGCTTCTCCCTCTGCCTGTGTCTCTGCCTCTCTCTGTGTGTGTCTCAATAAATAAATAAAATCTTTAAAAATAAATAAATAAAAATAAAGATTTTAATTATTCATGAGAGAAAGAGAGAGAGGCAGAGACACAGGCAGAGAGAGAAGCAGGCTCCATGCAGGGAGCCCAATGTGGGACTCGATCCCGGGTCCCCAGGATCACGCCTGGGCTGCAGGCGGCGCTAAACTGCTGTGCTACCGGGGCTGCCCTAAATAAAATCTTAAAAAAAAAAAAAAAAAAAAAAAAAAAAAAGAGGGAGATGGAGAAGGTTGAGAAGATGGCATTTGCAGAAGGAACTGAGCAAGTCACTATGCCATTCATCGTTCAGTGCAGCATTTGTCTGGTAGCACTTCCTGCAATGATGGGTGTGTTCTTTATCATCATTGTCTAATTTAGTAGCCACCAGCTCCATGTGGCTTTTGGGCACTTGACACGTGGCTGGTGCCACTGAAGAACTGAACGTTTAACATACTTAATTTTTACTTTGTTGGTCACGTAGAGCTTGTGACTCCCACAGTGGATGGAATAGATTTAGTAGAATGGTGGCCAGAGCTCTAAATCCAGTGTGTACTTCATGCTTCATATTTTATGCGTGTTCTCCTGTGAAATCTTCACGATAGCTCGGTGAAACAGGAACTATAGGGATCCCTGGGTGGCGCAGCGGTTTGGCGCCTGCCTTTGGCCCAGGGCGCAATCCTGGAGACCCGGGATCGAATCCCACATCGGGCTCCCGGTGCATGGAGCCTGCTTCTCCCTCTGCCTGTGTCTCTGCCTCTCTCTCTCTCTCTCTCTCTCTCTCTGTGACTATCATAAAAAATAAATAAATAAATAAATAAATAAATAAATAAATAAATAAATAAATAAATAAATAAATAGAAATAGGAACTATAATCGTCACCATAGGGAAAAATGAATTCCTTCATGTATTCATCTATACTTTATTATTGTTCTCCTTAATAGACTTTGTCTTTTGGAGCACTCTGAGGTTTACAGAAATACTTGAGGGACACCTGGGTGTCTCAGTAGGTTAAGCATCTAAGGTTGGCTTGGGTCATGATCTCAGTTGTGCTGAGATCAAGCCCCATGTTGGGCTCCCGGCTCAGCAGGGAGTTTGCTTCTGCCCCCTCTCCCTGCTCCTTCTCGCTCTCTGTCTCTCTCTCAAATAAACAAAGTATTTTTTTAAGAGAAAAATATTTGAAAGAAAGTACAGTTACCATTTTCCCAGTTTTTCCTATTAGTAATATCTTTCATTAATATGATCTATTTGTTATAATTAATGAATCATTACTGATATGTTATGAACCACAGTTCATAGTTTATTTAGATTTCCTTTGCTTTTATTTAATGTTCTCCTTCCCTTCCAGAATCGCATGCAGGATGCCACATTACCTTTAGTTGTCCTGGTTCTCTCTCTGTGTCTGTCTCTTTCTTTGAGATATAATTGACAAGTACCATGTTAGTTTTAGATGTATAGCATGATGATTTGATATATGTATATGTTATATTTAGTACAATAATTTAGTTAACACCCATACCACTCATAATTACAAATACTTTGTATTTGTTGTGATGAGAACTTTTAAGATCTACTCACTTAGTGGTCCTGTTTCTTTAGGTTCCTCTCAACTGTGGCAGATTCTCAGACTTTCCTTGTTGTTTTGCTTTATTGTTTTTTTTAGTTTTTTTTTTTTAATTTACTTATTCATAGAGAGAGAGGCAGAGACACAGGCAGAGGGAGAAGCAGGCTCCATGCAGGGAGCCCGATGTGGGACTTGATCCCAGGTTTCCAGGATCACACCCCAGGCTGCAGGCGGCGCCAAACTGCTGCGCCACCGGGGCTGCCCTATTGTTTTTTAAAGGTATTTATTTATTTGAGACAAGAGTGGGGTTAGGTACAGAGGGAGAGGGAGAGAGAGAGAAGCAGACTGAGCAGGGAGCCCAACATGGGGCTTGATCCCAGGACCCTTGGATCATGACCTGAGCTGAAGGAAGTCATTAACTCACTGAGCCACCCAGGCGCCCCAGTCTTACTTGTTTTTGATGACCTTGATGGTTTTGAGAAAAACTGACCAGGGATTTTGTAGAATGCTCCTCTATTGGAACTTGTCTGGTGTTTTTCTTTTGAGAAGACTGGGATGATGGGTTTGGGGGAGGAAGACCCCAGAAGTTGAAGTGTTACTCTCACCACCTCTTATCAAGGATACATACTAACCAACATTATCTATACCTGTTGATGTTGACTTTGATTGCGGGCTGAGGTAGCATTTGTCAGGTTTCTCCACTATAAAATTACTTCCTTCCCCGTTATATATTGTACACTTCGAAAGGAAATCACCATGTGTAGCGCATACCTAGTGAGTGAAGATGTACGTTCTCTTCCTTGAGTGAGATGTCTTTGTAAATTATATGGAGTTCTTCTCCATGGGAGATTTCTCTCTTCTCCCTGATTTATTAGTTTACCCATCTTTTTTTTTTAAAAAAGATTTTATTTATTTATTCATGAGAGACACAGATAGAAAGGCAGAGACATAGGCAGCGGGAGAAACAGGCTCGCCACAGGGAGCCCAATACGGGACTTCATCCCAGAACTCTGGGATCATGCCCTGAGCCGGAGGCACTCAACCACTGAGCCACCTAGGTGTCCAGCTTACCCATCATTTAATTATAGAAGTCTGGCTGCTGGATATTTATTTCATGCTCTAGGTTATAATCCAATACTACTTTTATCTTGTTATTCGAATTGTTCTAGCTTTGGCCATCGGGAGCTCTTTCGGTTGGCTCCTGTGGCCCTTTGACATACCCCCACCAATGTGTTTGGTTTGAGGTTTTTTGTTTTCTCGGGAGCACTTCCTTTCTGGTACTATAAGATGCTCCAGTCTCATCTCATGTATTTCCTGTCCCAGTTCTAGAATCAACCATTTCTCCCTGTCTGGTTCCTTTTATTAGAGAGTAGTGTTAGAAACCAAGATGTGGGCACTCGAAGCACTTGTTGCTATTGGGGTGTCATTTCTTTTAGGTCATCAATACTTCTTAATCAGCCCCAGCATGCCCGGTACCGGTGCTCGGCCCTGGGGATATAACAGTGACTGTGCCAGATGGGACATCTGCCCTCACAGAAGTCACAGTCAACCTGTGAGAATGGGCTTAAGAGGGCAACTCCAACATTGATGAGGTGCACAACCTTGGGTAAGTTATTTAATCTCTCTGAGCTTCATTCTCCCCATCCATGAAATGGTGGTGATTATAATACTTCATGATGGCACTGGGAAAAATAAAGGAATTCACCCACCTTCAGAACCTTTGGAACATGAGGCATGAAGTGCTTATTAAATTTGATTCTTGTTTTTTTTTGTTGTTGTTTTTAAGATTTTATTTATTCATGAAAGACAGAGAGGAGTAGAGGCATAAGCAGAGGAAAAAGCAGGCTTCCTGCAGGGAGCCCGATGTGGGGCTGAATCCCAGGACACTGGGATCACAACCTGAGCCAAAGGTGGATGCTCAACCACTGAGCCACCCAGGCGCCCCTAAATTTGATTTTTGTTAATAGTGATCAGAAATTGCACAATTGCAATAATTATAAACTAACAAAATAGTAACAGTCTGTGGAGATTCAGAGTGCCAGCAACACATGTAGCAGGAGAACCTGACCTCATTTTGGAATGGCCAGGAAGGCTTCCCAAATCAGTGGGGTTGCCACTAAGGCAGGAAGGGTAAGTCACCAGACGAAGGAGGGGAGGGCAGAATGTTTCAAGCAGAAAGAACAGGAAGTGCAAAGGCTCTGAGGCAGGCAGGAGCCTGGCACACTTAGGAACTGAGGAAAGGCCAGTGGTGGAGATGGGCAGGAGAGGAGACTCATGGGACTGGAAGGGGCAAATCACACAGGGCCTGGAGGGCCATGGCGATTGAAACTCAGTCTTAAGAGCAAGAGAGGTGACTTGTCCAAGAGCATATGTGTAGTAAGGACAGTCAGGATTGTAACCCAGGTCTGTTTAGTCTCCGAGATCTTTATTTTCTTGGTCTGAATTTGAAATAGGAAGTTCTTGGATTTCAGGTGGGAGGTGGTTGTTTTGTTTTGTTTTTGGCAAGAAGCATAGTTTTAGTTCTTAGGGGTTGGAATCCGAGTACACTCCAGTCATCAAAATTCTAGGTGTTCTTGCTCTCCCTCTAAGGGCCTGTGAGGTCAGGAGACACAGAGACAACTTGGCCTGCATTCCCACTCTTGAGCACATCACTCCCCAAGGGAGAGGAAGACATGTAGACACATAAATCCAGCCAGGGTGACATGGGATAGGCACAGAGCACCGTCTCTCATGGAGGGCATTGTCCAATCTGGAATACAGCGGGATCAGGTGGGAGGTAGAGCTGCTCGACATAGGGGCCCAGAGGAGCGCAGGCTCGGATTTGTCCCAGGGGATCTGTTAGGAACCAGGAGCCATCAGGAGTGCTGGATGCAGATTGTGAGGTAGGACTAGCGAGATGTCTGTCTCCGGTTTCAAAGGGCCCTGGAAAGTCAGGCAGAGATGCTGGGATTTTATCCTATAGACCAGGAGCTGGCAAATTACAGCTCGATTCAGCCCATACCTGTTTTTGTACAACCCATTAGTGAGAATGAGGTTTGCTCTTTTTTTCTTTTGAAGAGTGTGTGAGGGGCACCTGGATGGCTCAGCGGTTGAACCTCTGCCTTTGGCTCAGGTCATGATCCTGGGGTCCTGGGGTTCGAGTCCCATATCAGGCTCCTGCTGAGGAGCCTGCTTCTCCCTCTGCCTGTGTGTCTCTGCCTCTCTCTCGGTGTCTCTCATGAATAAATAAAGTCTTAAAAAAAAAAAAAAAAGGAAGAGAGTGTACGAGTGCAGGTGCATGAGGGGGCAGAGAGGGGCAGAGGGAGAAGGAGAGATAGTCTCAAACAGGCTCCATGTCTGGTGTGAAGCCCATTGGGCCTGATCTCACAACCCCTGAGATCATGATGTGAGCTGAAACCAAAAGTCAGGTGCTTAACTGAGCCACCCAGGTGCTCCTGGTGTTTACATTTTTTTTTTTGGTGTTTACATTTTTAAGTGGTTGAAAAAATAACAAAAGAAGGGTGCCTGGCTGGCTCAGGAGGTGGAACACAGGACTCTTGATCTCAGGGTCGTGAGTGCAAACCCCACGTTGGGTGTGGAGCCTACTTCAAAACAAAAGCAAAAGCAAAAGCAGAATAGCATCATGTGACATGAGAAAGTTATAGTTTAGGTGTCCTGTCAAGTTTGATAGTGACACAGCGTCATCTGTTGTCTGCATATGGCCCATGGCTGCATTCTGGCCACAGCAGCAGAGGCAGATTGCTCGGGCAGGGCCTGCTTCATGGCTGTGCACGCTGTGTAGTCTCACCAAGCCTTGCACTTCTGTCACCATTTTGAAATTCTTAATAATCTATGAATGAAGTCCCCCTCATTTTTTATCTTGCATTGGGCCCTGAAAATTATGTAGCTGGTCCTGGTGAGTAGAGGCCATATGGCCCACAAGGCCTACAGTATTTACCATCAGGCCTTTTCCAGAAAAAGTACGTGAGTCCTCTTATAGGGGACAGAACAGCAGCCCCTCCAAACTGTCCATGTCCTAATCTCCTAGCATCTATGAGTCTGAGACCTTACCTGGCAAAGGGGACTTTGCACAGAGTATTCAGTTAAGGATCTGGAGGAAGGAGGATTGTCATGGACGATCCTCATGGGACGTGTAATCACAAGGTTCTTGTAACGGGGGCAGGAGGTCCAGAGTTGGAGAAGATGTGAAAGAGGTGATCCCATTGCTGGCTTTGCAGATGGAGGAGGAGCCGTGAGCCATGGAATGCAGAAAGCCTCTGGAGGCTAAAAAAGGCCTGGAAACAGATTTCCTCCTAGCACTTCCAGAAGGCCTGCAGCCCTGCTGACACCTGACCTCTAGGGCCGTAAGAGCATCGATGTATGGTGTTTCAGGCCACCAAGGGGGTGGTCATTTGTCACAGTGGCCTCGAGGAACTAACATACCTGCTGTGGGTAATGAGCACGTAAAAGAATTTGTCTTGAACCCAAAGAGAATTTTAGATGAGAGACTGATTTTGCGTATTTACTTACTTATTTATTTATTTACTTGCTTGAAGGAAGAGAACCAGAGGCAAAGGTGGTGTACACACTTCAAAGGATGGAGGCATATCGGCAGGAGGCTGTGAAGACAACCCGGGGCAGGGGATAGGGTCTGAAAATGGAGAGGAGGAGTCCAGATGTGTATGAGGTGGGATAGTAGGAACGGGTGACCAGTCAGATGTGGAAAAGGAGGTGCCCTGATTTGTTAGACCCAGTAACGGAGGTGGAGGAGGGGGGAACGGCGTGGCATTTGAACCATTTCCAGGGCTCTGAATATGGGTGGGGGCTCTTCTGGGGGACACAAGAAATGGGCTTCACTGTCAGGTGAGCCGTTTGCTGGCCAGCTCCCAAACAGAGCTGAGGCATCAAAGCAGACGCTCATTATGAGGGCAGAAGCTGGGCGGGCCTGGACAAGCCCAGAGAGCCTTCTGGCACTCATGCGGTTTGCAGTCTGAGCTGCAATCTCACGTGCCCAATAGGTCAGTTGTGTCAAGAAACAGGAAGCTTTATTTATTTTTCCTTAGGCAACAACATGTATTTTCAGGGCAGCAGTTTGGAGTTCCTGTCCCCATGCCAAGGGGACTGGCCCCTTCCAGGTGTGGGTCACCTTGGTTCCTATTTGTGCACATCTCCGACCTGAAGGACCCGGCCCTGGAGGAGACATGGAAATGCAGGGCTTGCTTTCAGGTACTGCTGTGCTTATAACGTCGCTGCGCCTCTGTCTGCCTATTTGTGAAAGGCAGGTGGCACCACCACCTCAGAGACACGTGTAGAGCCGACACCGAGCAGAGTGTCTAACGTGGTTAACACCCCAGAGAGCAGGAAGGGCTCCGCTTTTTTGTTGTTGTTGTTGTTTTAAAGCTGGCTCTGTGCCCATTGTGGAGACCAACATGGGGCTTGAACTCACAACCCTGAGATCGATTGCTGAGATCAAGAGTCGGTCGCCAAACCAACTGAGCCCCTAGGTGCCCGGTTCGCTTCTTAAACCCATCGCTCCTGGAACGCCACCACCAGAGATAACATGGGTCACTGACCTGGACAAGCGTGGCAAATTTTGCCTTCCAGGATGATCTTTCGGCAACTGACCCATAACCATTCCACGGCAGTATCTTGCTGGCAAAAACAGCACTGGGCGCTTTTATCTCTCATCAAGTCAAAGGTTAGGAAAGGCCCTGCTGCTCTGTTTCCTGGGGTCACGGAGTGGCCTGGCTTTCCTGGTCATCCTGGAGGATTATCAGGAGCGATCACTTTCACTTCCAGGTGTTCCTTCACTCCGTCACCCTCCTTCTTACACCGACTGTAGTTGCCGCTGTCACTTTTAATTTTCTTTTTTAAAGATTTCTGGTTTTTCCATTTAATGACCTACACGTTCCCTTTCGTGTTTTGCTTATAAACATTTCACTGTATTTGTGGGGCTTTCTGCAGTGCTGCTTTTTAAAAGTTTGTTTGTTTGTTTGTTTGTTTATTTATTTATTTATTTATTATAGTCACACAGAGAGAGAGAGAGAGAGGCAGAGACACAGGCAGAGGGAGAAGCAGGCTCCATGCACCGGGAGCCCGATGTGGGATTCGATCCCAGGTCTCCAGGATTGCGCTCTGGGCCAGAGGCAGGCGCCAAACCACTGCGCCACCCAGGGATCCCAAAAGATTTTTTTTTTTTAAGTAAAAATTCAAGGGTTTCTAATATATTCACATAGTTTAATTTTTTTTTATTTTTATTTATTTATGATAGTCACAGAGAGAGAGAGAGAGAGAGAGAGAGAGGGGCAGAGACACAGGCAGAGGGAGAAGCAGGCTCCATGCACCGGGAGCCCGACGTGGGATTCGATCCCGGGTCTCCAGGATCGCGCCCTGGGCCAAAGGCAGGCGCCAAACCGCTGCGCCACCCAGGGATCCCTATATTCACATAGTTGTGCAAACATCACCACTGTCTCATTCCAGAACTTTTCTTCACCCCAGAAAGAAAGAAACCCATGCCCATTAGCTGTCAGTTCCTAGCCTTTGATGACTCCATGGCTTTGCCTATTCTGATCACTTCGTGTAAATGGAATCATATAACATGGCCTTTTGTGTTTGGCTTCTTTCACTGAGCATCCCATCAGCAAGGTCCTCCGTCCACGCTGGAGTAGGAATTGGTACTTCATGGCTGAGTAATATCCCCTATAGGGCTATACCCCATTTTGTTTATCTGTTCATCATGTGCTGGATGTGTGGGCTATTCCCACTTCCTGGCTGTGGTGAGTAATGCTGCTGTGAACATGTCACAGACAAATTTTGTTGTTGTTGTTTTAGAGATTAATTAATTAATTTTGGGGGGGGAGATTTTATTTATTTATTCTTGAGAGACACAGAGAGAGAGAGGTGAGACACAGGCAGAGGAAGAACCAGGCTCACTGCAGGGAGCCCGATGTGGGACTCAATCCCGGGACTCCGTGATCATGCCCTGAGCTGAAGGCAGGCGCTAAACCGCTGAGCCACCCAGGCATCCCAAGATTTTTATTTATTTGAAAGAGAGAGACAGAAAGCCTGAGCAGGAGAGGCAGAGGGAGAAGCAGACTCCCTACCGAGCAGAGAGCCCAATAACAGGGCTCAATCCCAGGACTCCAGGATCTTGACCTGAGCCAAAGGCAGACACTTCACCAACTGAGCCACCCAGGTACCCCACGGACAAGTTTTTATAGGAACATATGTTTTCCATTCTTTTGGGTCTGTAGCTAGGAGTGGAATGGGTGGGTCATATGGAACCAGTAGACTGTTGTCCCCAATCTTTTCTTTAGAAATGGTTTCCTGCTCATTGGTCATTGACAGGCCATCAACTTGCTGTGACACTTATCCAGCCTTGTTCTTTATCCAGCCACTGACAGGAAGCAGGCCAGGGACTCCCGGATTTGCTGTGGTCTACCTGCAAGGTGGCTCCCACCTGCCCCTGATGTGCTGGGGCAGGAGCACCAAGGCCGAGTATTTGTGTTACCAGGTCCTGCCCCACCCTGCAACACCCATGCTCCCTGGATTGCAAAGGCTTCAAACCTCCCAGCTCCCCAGACAAAATAGCCAAAAGCACACCCAGCAGCATTTCTCAGAGCGCCTTATGCACACTGAACTCTGCACATGTGCAACTGAGAACAAGTTGGGTAGATGGAACAAGACAGGTGTTATCAGTTTCTTAAGAGCTCACGCAAATTGATAAGAACCAAAGGAGCAAAGATCAGAAACAGTCCGCAGGAGGAGAGAGTCAACAAACCTCAGAGTGGGTCTACCGAGTCATCAAGGAGAGGCCCAAGGGTAAGGGCTAGCCAAGGTGTAGATCATTCCAGCGCTGCCGGAACCCCCAGCACTGGCTTTCCTCCGGGGTGGCAGATGTGTTAAGTTGGAAAAACACCCATCAGAAGACACCTGCCCAGCACAGAAAAAGGTTCATCATGGTTGTACCACTGACAGTAATCCTGAGCCACCCATGGAGGGGCTGTTTGCTGGCAGATGTTTCTCACAGTCTGCAGTGAGTTACCTTCAGCTTAGCACTGATCTAAATGCCCAGAGATGAGGCTGGCTTAATGAATCGCACATCCACTAGAAAGGATGGGGAGCAGCCATATGGAGTAAGAGTGGCTCCCAGCCTCCAGGCTGACCACCATGTGGATGCCGTTCGTGTTTTTAAGATTTTTATTTTTATCTTTATTTATGTATTTTTTTTTAAGTAGGCCCCACTCCCAGCACGGAGTCCAGCACAGGGCTTGGAACTCACTACCCTGAGCTCAAGACCTGAGCTGAGATCAAGAGTTAGACGCATAACCAACCGTGCCACCCAGATGCCCCATGTTTGGGTGCCGTTCAGTCCTCATGGTAAGTCTCTGAGCTAGGGCCTGTTATCCCCATTTTACAGGAGGATCAAGTGGGCCCAAGGTCACACATTCCCAGAGGATGGCAGGGAGGGGCCAGGGGATGGGGCCACAGAGCCAAACAGCTCCCACGGGCCCAGAATTGCACCTACAGGGCCCTCCCCTTGAGGGTGAAAGAATGCAGGGGGAGAGTGAAGAAAGGAACAGCCTTGCCAGCACTGAGAGGCCCCAGCCCCAGCGCCAAGAGGGTGGTCAGGAGGAAATAAGATGCAGATAAGAACTGTGGGGGTGGGTCTAGGAGAGAGGAGTGGTCCTAGGAGAAGGTTTGCATGGACCACTCTGGAGAAGGAGAGCCTGGCTGGCTGGGGGGTCATGGGTTCATGGTGGCATCTCTGGGGTGTTATTTCCACTCCCCCATTCAACCCAGGGCCAGTGGTTTCAGATGGCTGACTTTGGAGGCAAGGGGCCACCCTCAGTGTGTAGTGGAAGCACTAGGTCCACATGAATGAGGGGAGAAACCAAGGTCATGTCTTAATCTTTGTTCCCTTCCCAGACCCCTAGGCATCCAATACTCTACTATCTTACTCAGGTACATCCTGGACATATTAGTTTGCTCTGGCTGCCATCACAGAGTGGCCTGGTCTAGGTGCTTTAGAACAACAGAGATCTATTTGTTTCCTCACATCAAGGACATCAAATAAATGTTTGTTTATTTAAATATTTTGTTTTTAAGTCATCTCTGCACCCAATGGGCTCAAACCCACAACCCCTGAGATCTCCAGAGTCGCATGCTCCACCAGCTGAGCCAGCCAGACACCCCTAAATAAACGTTTGATATTATATGTATGTAAGGTACATTTTAAGTAAAATCATTTTTTTTATTTAAAAAAATTGTTTCTTCATGGTTTGTTCTGGAAGCAGGGAGCCCAAGATCAAAGTGTCAGCAGGGCTGGTTCTTTTGAGGTGACCCTCCGTGACGTGCAGACGGCCACCTTCTCCCCGTGTCCTCACACAGTCTTCCTTCTGTGTGCATCTGTGTCCTAATTTCCCCTTTTTATAAGGACACCAGTCATATTAGATTAGCCCCCCCCCCCATGGCCTCATTTTAACTTGATCACCTCTTCGGAGGCCCTGTCTCCAAACACAGTCACATCCTGAAGCCCTGCGTGTAAGGGCTGCGACACATGAATTTTGGAGAGGACACAGAGTTCACCCCGTCACACTAGGTAGGTAAGCATGGGATTTTTGCCACAGTTTGCAGAATTTCAGCAGGGGTGGGCACAGGAGCTCTGGTGGCCCTCGTCACCCATGGGCACTGTCCAGCCTTCCGCAGTTAAGGAGGCAGAATTCTGGGGTTTAAACACCCCATTCTTTGGTGGATGGGGCTGACCTGGAGCCCTGATGGGAGCCTGGGGAGCCATACATCGGGGTTCAGGCCCAGGGAGGGGCCACATGAAAATCCACAGAAGCTGGCCAGATAAACTACAGCCCACACAGGGGCAGGAGAGGGGATCCAGGAGCAGCTGCAGGGACTGGCCATCTTCCCAGAGCAGCCCTCTTACCCCCAGGAGCAAGGGTCTTCCTGGGCTCACACTGAGGGCAGACCCACTGGACATGTGTTGTCCTGCCTTCTTTCTGCTGCTGCGCCAGGGCTTGCTCTGCCCAGACCCTTGCTTCCCTCCTTTCCCCTGGCCGGCATCCCCAGTTACTTCCCCCAGAAATGCGTTAAGCCCATTGCCACAGAAGAGAACGGTGGTGCGATGAGGAAGGTGGGGAGACCCCTGCCACAGGGTCTGGCTCAGTTAAGCAGTCGGTAGCATGAACCCTGCTCTCCCCAGTCACTGTGGCTGCTTGAGGGGCTGGTTGAGGCTTGTTATCCCCAGTGGCCAGCACAGGGCCTGGCACCCAGTAGGCGTCAAAGGTTTGCTGGCCACATGAACAAGAAGCAGGCCCTTCTTGGGAGGACCAACAGTGCTGCGACCCCAGCGTGGGTTTTTGGCATTCGGCAGGACCTGCCCCCGTCACCCCCACCAGTGAATCAGAACACCTGTGCTGGGGTCTCTTCCACAGTTGGTGAGCAAGAAGGGTACTCCACCCTGCCCCAGCCCAGTGGCAACGTAGCTGACTCCAGGGGTGTCACTGACACGGCTGTTGTAGGGCAATAGCAACAAGGACCTGGAGGGGGTATCCCACTTCCAACTCCCCCCTCCTGTCATGGGTTCTATCCCCTGCTGCCCCATGCTTTGTGAGTGAGCTAGCTTAGTCCCTGCCCTGTGACCAGTGTCCTTAGCATACCATCTGCCTCACCTTCCCGGTGTGGGGACCCAAAGGCCAGAGTGGTCAGCCTTGGGCGAGGTGGGGCGGGGCAGGGTCAGGAGAAAGCACAGCTGTGTTTCCAGCCATCTCCCTAGGCCTTTGCATTCCCCAGTTAGGAGTGTTCAACACCCCCAGATGTACCCAGAGCAGGCCAAGGGTCAGGAGAAACTGAAAACTGCCTTTCCCAAGGAAGGCGGGACTCGCACAAAAGGCCAAAGGTCACTGAGCAGAAACCCTCCAAGGAGGTGGCGGGGAGCCCCTCAGGGTTTGGAGAGACAAGGCCAGGAAGCAGCTGTTGGGAGCTCTGCTGTAAGCAAGGCTTCTCGCTCTCAAGGCTGCAGACCTTTGGGCCAGAGGAGTCTTCCTGGTGGGAGGGACAGGACATTTAGTAGCACCTCTAGCCATCCCTCCTCCCCTGCTGTGACAACCAGTTATCTCTCCAGTCATTGCCAGGTGTCCCCTGGGGGCAAAATTGGCCCAGGTAAGAATCCCCCACTTTATAGAGCCAAGCTTTGGAAAGGGGGACTCTCTTGCCTGGGTTCTTGGGCTCATGTCAAGGGCCTTCAGATCACATCAGGTCAGGTATTCAGGGAGCCTGCTGTTTGATATGCCCTGTTCCCTGGACCCAGAATTCTCTTCCACCCCCACGGCCACCCTCATGCCCCGCTTTCCAGAACTGGGTCCACATATCCCTTCCCACCAAGATCCACGGGTGCTATGGCAGGTAACAATGCCCACCCCCGCCAAGATGTCCATGTCTTCATCCCCAGAGAACATGTCATCTTACACAGCAAAAGGGACTTGGCAGATGTGGTCATGTTAAGGCTCTGAGATGGAAGGTGATCCTGGATTATCCAGGTGGCCCAGTGTCATCACAAGGGTCCTTGGAGGCAGGAGGGTGAGAGGCAGAGAAGGAGAGTGCAACAGTAGCCAGGCATAGAGAGACTGGAAAGCACTCCACTGTTGGTTTTGCAGGAGGAGGACAGCCTTGAGCCAGAGAGTGCAGGCCACTCTGGACTCTGGAGGGGGTGAAGGCAGATGGCCCACAGAGCCTCCAGAAGGATCTTGGCCCTGCCAGTAGCTTGGTTTTCAGACTTCTGCCCTCCAGAATGGAAAGATCATAACTTTGTGTTGTTTTAAGCCACCAAAGTGCTTTGGGTGATTTGTTACAGTGGCCGCAGGGACCCGACACAGGCCTGAGTTGGGGAGGGCCCCTGGGCTCAGGCTGGCCTCTGGCTCTTGGGGCACGAGCCGCAGGACTCTGTCTCTGTGGTCATCTGATCTCAGCCTGACCCCACAGAAAGGGACCAGGGACAGGACCGTGAGAAAATGCTCTTGTCTCAGAGATGACAGAGAGGAGAAGGGAAGGACCCAAGGCGGGGAGTGTCTCTGAAGCAAACGGAATTATCTCTGAAGCAAACACAGGCCGGAGCCACAGGGGAGCCACCAGGGGCCAGGGCAGCTGTCAGGCTCCCATGAAGCCAGTGGAGGAGAGTTCAGGAGCAGGAGGTGACTGGGACTGTAGGCAGGAAGGGTCAGGGTTGACAGGTTTTTTGGGATCAGGGAAACTGGTGAGGCATCCTTGGCACTTATCCACTGCCAAAGGGGGTGGCCACAGAACAAGGCAAGAGAGAAGAATGCATGGGGAGGGCAGAGAGGTGAGGAGAGGGTTGATTGTGGTTTTTATTTCCTACACTGATGCTTTGACATCATGGGGCTCTTGCTGCTGTGGGAAGGACTGCCCCTCCCAGGGCTAGTTGATTCCTAGAGGTGGGACACACCTTGCCTGCTCGTGCTTCCACTCTGACCATCCCGTTAGCAGGCTGCCATGCTCCATGAGCATGATGTCCCTGATGTCCCCCAGGGCCAGGGGGCCAGACAGCTAGGCCCCTACACCCCAAAGCCTGGAGAGATTATTCAAACTAGCCAGTCTTGAGCCTGCTGACCCCGCCTTTCCATCCTGTAGAAACCACAATAAATATGGGCTCCTGCCCACATCTCTGTCTTGCCTCTGCCTCTTGACCGACCCTGGTGCTTCCTCGTGTGGCCCCACATGGTGTGACATGCTCCCTCTTCTTGGGATCTGTGAGTAACAAACTAATGGCAATTGTCTCCTGATCTGTTAGCCTCACCATCCCTGAATAATAATAAAATCTACATCTTAAAGCACTGAGGGACAGATCTGTGGCTGGGGATGGGCAGAGAGGAGAAAATGTGGTACAAAAGAGGTGGCAGGAGTGGATGCGTGGGTCTACTTGTCTGGTTATACCAGAAGAGGAGGGACTGATCGCTCAGCTAAAAGCCCACAAGAGCTCACGTGAACAAGAGGTGACCCAACAGGTCCTCTCATCTAGACTTGGCATCACAAGTTCTGCAGCACCCCCCTTGAGCCCTGCAAGGTAGCTGGCATTACCACCATGCTGGCTGGCACTGGTTGGCACCAGCAGCCCAGGATAAAGCCACCACTCCCCTCCAGATACAGCCCCTCCCCACAGCACCCAAACACACTCCTGGTGACCAGGTGCCACCACTGCTCTGGCTTCCAGAGCCAGCGTGAGAGAGACGCACAACAGGTTTGGGCCAAGCACCACGCCACCCACCTAGCCAGCCCTGACACCCTGCTGCTGTCAATTTGGGTACAGCCTGGGGCCCCATGGGGCTTTCAGACTCCTCAGCTTCCCCATCCCCTCCTTTTTTTTTTTTTAATTTATTCATGAGAGACAGAGGCAGAGACACAGGCAGAGGGAGAAGCAGGCTCCCACGTAGGACTCGATTCTAGGACCCCAGGATCACAACCTGAACCAAAGGTAAATGCTCCATTGCAGAGCCACTCAGACATCCCCATCCCTTTCTTTTAGCAGAGGCACCCCATAGCCCAGTGGTTAGGAGGTGCAAGAGTCCTGCAGTCAAGGAGGAATGTCACCACCGATTTTCCTCACCAACCTCACGAGGAGAGGGACCGTGCTGAGAAACTGCAGGATCCACAAGGTGGCCGAGTTTCCCTCAGGATATCAGGAAACCTTGGGGCAGCCTGGGTGGCTCAGCAGTTTAGCGCCGCCTTCAGTCCAGGGCCTGATCCTAGAGACCTGGGATCAAGTCCCATGTCAGGCTCCCTGCATGCTCTCCCTCTGCCTCTCTCTCTCTCTCTCTGTCTCTCATGAGTAAATAAATAAAAATCTAAAACAAAACAACAACAAAAAAGGATATCAGGAAACCAGACTGCAGTGGCTGGGAGAGCAGGCCAGATACAGTGGAGCATAGGTTATGCTGGGAGAAAAACATGAATTGGTCACAACTGGAACTGTACCAAGTGTCCACTGACAAAAATGGCCCAGTCATTCATGTAACTACACCGAATGGGCAGGTGAAATCCGCCAAAGAATTGGGTGACTACGGGGGATCCCTGGGTGGTGCAGTGGTTTAGCACCTGCCTTTGGCCCAGGGCCCAATCCTGGAGACCTGGGATCGAATCCCACATCGGGCTCCCGGTGCATGGAGCCTGCTTCTCCCTCTGCCTGTCTCTGCCTCTCTCTCTCTCTGTGTATGACTATCATAAA